TAAAAGCGAAGTCTTTGTAAGTTATATCCCATAATAAAAATTTGAATTTGAATTTGATGAGTACAGATTACCGAGTACCGAAAGGAAAGTTCTGTCTGCCCATCTCAGTCAATCTGTATATCAAGCAAGCATGTACTCATTTCACATTTAGGCTCCTATCTGTTGCACGTATCCCCACCACAAATCGAAGTAATATCCTCCTTTATATTGCCCGTATCATTAATTTGGAGGGAAGGAGTATAACTTATCACTATGGTTTCCTCGATCGCATCCTACTATTTTCTCTTCCTGATCGTTTTATGTACATGTTTTCTCTCCTATTATTCGTTGCAAATGGTAAAACCCCACTTCAAATAATGCAAAAGACTTCTTTTAACCATAACTGGTATACAAAAAGCTGTTTTTGTTATAAATGTTTCCTATATTTGACTCAGTTTTAAGTGTCTGTTTGGAATGATGTAAATAATCGATGGAGTTTCGTACTCGACTAAAATACGATGATTTTTATTTCATATTTATACGTTGAAATTAATTGAACTCGTACAACGCACCTTTTGTTTCACACCAGTTGCTTTTCATTCTCCTTACACTGTGTTTGATCCATGCAAACTGACGAATCTGCTATGCATAATAAACTTCCGACCAGAAAATAATCCTTGCACGTTGATAGCACATTTTCTTTTAAAGATGTCATGTAATAACCGGTAAGCACGAGACGAACGTAATCGTTGCAAGATTATCCTGTTTAGTTGCGAGATATGTTAAATGAGATTCCGATGGATTCCAATGATTACGAAGTAGTTTACAGTCGCATTGAGGCCGTAGACACAAGAAAAGTTTATTGAAAACCATCACGAAATAGAGGTTATGAGTATGAACTATCAAAGCACACGAGTCACTTCAACCCCGAGCACAAAACGAAGAGGGTCAGCGAGTCCAATGAACGAAATGGAAGAAAATGTCAAGCGCGAACTGATCCAATATTCTCGAAAACTCTGAGGTCAGTTTGGAGAATTCCTAGTTTTTGTGCAATTGACTGAGTCAAATGCATCGAAGACTGCCACAGTGGAATGGTTCATAAAAGCGAAAGTGATTATTGATCGATCGGTAACTAACAATGTATAGATGTGGTTGCATTTATCAAGTCATCACTACCTCAATACCGTCAATGCCTGAAAATCCAAATCAATCAGGAACGATGATTTTACCACCCGCAACCTTATCATGCGGTCTGTGAACGTTGTTCGGAAGAAAAAGCAACAACCTGTAAGAGATCCATCCTGAAGCAGTTTTGATTTTCCCAAGTGGAAGCCTAACGTTTATGAGTAGTGGGCATTCTTGGCGCAAATCATGCAAGCTTTTTCCGTGTAGGTTCGTGACGCTTTTAATTCCACATTTTCTATCCAGCATGCAGGTAGGAACTGGTCAACGGGAGATCAAAAGAGTTTATATTTTTCCAAAACATTCTCACTTTGCCATTACTTCTGTATGAGTGTTAATCGGTTCAAGTCTCCAGTTATGGTGATATCATCTGTTTTAACAGATTTTTGTTTCCATAATTCATTTGGAGGTTCATTGAGCTGAGTTCAGAATCGCAACTTCGTCTGCAATTGAACTGAAATGGACACTGACTAATGATAATTTCATAGTATATACAAACAGTTAAAATTATTTTTCATCAATGCGCTAGTTTTCCGATCCGGACTGATCGGCTGCAAGAACGATTTTCGCAACATTGATAACACTGCAGGTGAGATAATGATGATAATTAACCAAATTCAACAGTTTACTTATTTAGAGTCTATCTCAATGCACCGGAATGCTACTCAAAATTTACGGCGATTTGGTCAACACGAACCCGGATCACATGGTAACAGGTGCTTCATTCCAGTGTGCTCTTGAGCTTCGAGTTGGGTGAGTGGGTGTGTGGTTGAGGAGTAGCGGAGGGGGGCTGGGCGGGGCGTTGGAATAAGGCGCCTGTTTGCAGCTTGTCATTCATCCCGTCATGCATGGGTAGGCAATTTCAGATGTGACAAACTTTTTTTTCGTACCGTAAAACCCAGGTAAAATGACGGTTACACGAAGAATTATGATAGTATTCCGTTTTATTTAAATAAACTAAACTTTGTAATGTTTGTCATAAATGAGACTGATCGTTACCTTGCTGTGTCTCCGGCCAATTCCGTAGTCAATGAAAGGCAAATAAAATGCTTTCATTGCACAAAAGAAGAAATTTAACCGACAAAGTGTGATTGTAGAACCGCAAAATGACAGAATATGTTCCCATTCTACTTCAAGCAAATCCACAGATTGCATAGTTCCTGTTTGGTTGTATATCACTGCTGGGTTTCAGGTTTCAACGTAAATATTCCTCGTTGGAATATAATTGGAGACAATGGATAAGATTTCATTGCTGATAAGTAGGTCTTTAGTGTCTTTGGCATTGCGAAGGCACATTTTCTAGCAATAAAATGATGCTCAATATCGTGTCCTTTCATTTTCCTTCTGTTTGACCTTATGCATTACTAGAATGCATACAACAAAAGTGTAAAAAGCTGCCTCAGAACGGGGATACTTCATTCTAATGCGCTTCTGATCGGAAGTCGTTCTCATCATTGGGCGGACACGATTATATTTTGGAACGAAAGTATTCAACGGACTTATTGTAGTTAGCTATTCCGAAACCCATTTGTTTCATACGTTTTACGACCACCACTCCATTATTAGTTTTATGTTCTCCACACGTTCACATGTTAATTCACTGCCGAGCAGTGAGCCTGAGGTATACCAGTAACACGACATACCTATCATAAACACTAGTGGAATCCATTTCCAGTAAACAGGACCGGCGGAGCCCACACCGTTTTCCATCACACTGAGGTGCTTCTTTGTTTTGTTCAGCCTCCGGACAACTGTCACCACAATCCCCGTTCACTTGCTCATAGGACTCTGTCTGATCCGAGCTAGAGCTGTCAGGATGAGTATGCATGCTTGTACAGCCACGCGGTTCCACACAGTCAAGCACAGTGATTGCCAAATCTGTGTCATTCGGATAGGTGCGCAACCAGTTCATCGCGGTGCGTTGATCCCATCCACCTACGTGCTGTCCATTCAGTCCGAGCAAACGCTGACCGGCCAGTAATCCGACAGAAGCAGCTGGTGACCCAGATAGGACAACATCAACCACAAGTCCCTGCAGAAGATGGGATGTGGTGGGAAAACGGAAACAAATATTATTCGTGTTTTTATTAACTCTGTAGTACACCATAAATGGCTTGATTGCATTTGTCTGAAACTAGAAAGGTGATGAAAAATCACGGATCAACATTTTCCGGGCGGGACAATCTTGTATTCGGTTCTCACAATTATTACATGACACACAGATTATGGATAATGCATTTCACTGTCTCTACCCTAATCGACTTTCGGTCTATGGTTGAGGCAGGGTAGATTTTGTTTACTTAACCAGTCTTTTGAACCCAAACATTCATACAGTTTCCCGTACGCCCCACCGCACCCCATAATGGTGGTCTCCAGAAAACAGCTCGTGCGGTTGTAACCACGTTCCTTTTGTGTAACTTTGGCAGGCAAAAAAGCTCGTACAATGACAACGGATTTTCTTTCCGTTCCCATTTGGCTCTTTATAATCAAAAACTATCGGATGCCGTGAGTACACACCAAGTGTTGATTTCAAACATGTTTATCTTAGCAGTTTTTGATTCCGAGACACGAGAATTTTGCACGCAGATTGAAAACAGGGCTCCATGTAGCCAATTCAAACGACAGAATGTGGCAAGTATCAATGCAGTGTAATTCGCTGCGCTAAGATCGAAGGAAAAGTAATATGGAAATTGTGCCATAATCACAGAGCTTGCCACATACCACAATTCACTCGGCACGTGAACCCCTGATTCCACTTTTCCGGCCGTTACTTGCAGGGATTGCAGACTTATAGAATCTATTTGACTTACTGAAACAATGTAATCAAAATACACTAAAAAAAGTAAACATGATATGTTGAAGTTAACTATATTTGGCACATGCACCATTACAAATGCCGTAATAATTGATACATATTTTCAATGAGAGGACCTTCGATGATAGAATGGTGTATCATCTTACAAAACTGTGGAGGGTGAATTCGTATTAGTTTCTCGGTAAGCTCTTTGACGAGAGCGTTACTATTAAGACACCTTCATAGTTACATGTGGCCAAGAGCGAAGTGATATCAAGCCTGAGGTGATAAAACTTATGAGTCTATTAAACCCCTTATAGTGCGTGTATAGAGGTATTGACTACCAGAAGTTACCAACGCTATACGCGTATTTTGCCCAAGCTTTCGTTGGGTAACTATTTGCAGCTGCCTTTTCCTGGACTATTTAGCAAACATCTGGAATGGAACAAGTTTCAATAAAGAAACAGTGGCTCCGGTACGTTTTACAGTATGTAAATACACATCATTCTTACAGTGACAAGTGTCAAGCCAACTGTACTGGCAACGACGTTCTATACACTGGCATTGGAGTGTATTCCCGTATAACCAACACAATGCTAGTTGAGAAACAACACTACACGCACACAGTGTAGTCATGTGAACAGCACATGAAACGGTTGAAATTCCGAGTACATCACGATGTACGGATTATTTGCCGTCAGTCACGAATTGTTCCAGTTCCATAGCTTGCTTTGGTTGGGTCATGTTACAGATGTCACGAGATAGGTTGTCACGGCGGGCGATGTTTGCTAAGGCTGGTGGTGGTTGGAAGAAGATCAAGTTTGGTCCAAAGAGGACCTGGCATGATGGCATGAAAATCCTAACCAGGAGACTGTGTCACATAAGTCCCGTTAGGCTCCCTGACTGGGGACTCAGAGATCATGGTCACCGATGGTTAGAGACACTGAGCGATATGGTTGTGTCGCAAACAGTGGCACTCATGCATTTACTCAATATTCTCTTACCAACAGTCTGTATGAAGTTTCTTCTTTTTGAATGGGCTTTAGCATTCCAACCTTCAACCTTCTCTTTCATCTAACTGGCGGGGGGGGGAGGGGCAAATGACAGCAACGAAAACCTGCGCACGAAAGTGCATGGTTAATGGTTGTACAAACTGAATTGAACTGAACTGTCCCAAAACGCTCAATCCCGTTAAAGTACGCACGCAAACTCACAAAATGTGTCATAAAATCATCGGAGTCACATCAC